CCGCGTGCGGGGGTACATGCACCTGAACGAAGCAGACAGGCTGCTGAAAGCGCTCGGGAAGGAAAAGTCTCGGACTCAGACTTTCGAGTCTGCCGCCTTCTATAGCCTCAAAGGCCAGGTAGGAAGCCTTCACGCGGAAATCCCTCTGTTATTGCTGGGCCCCACAGAGGAGGTAGAGCCACCCCTGTGCTGTCCATACGCTCCCTCCAGCCCCTGCCCCTGCTGGGCCACAACGCTGGCCCTCGGCTCGGATCCTCCCCGGGCTCACCGGCAGCAGCGGCCCCGTCCTCCAGGCCAATGTCTGTATGGAATAGTTTGTTTTGTTTAGAGAGAGTTTATGCTATAGGGTGTGTACTCTCACCAGAGAGACAGCAAAAGTGAGAAATTGTCCCTCCCGGGGGCAGGGATGGCCATGCAGCAACCCCTTCACCTCCACTCTCCTCTTGGGATTTTGGGCATGCATACACATGCGCCCAGTGTGAATTTCAGGCCACCAGGTCCAGGACTCGAACCGCAGTCGACCATGTGGGAGTCCAGCGCCTTAACCACCACGCCACCTGCTGGCCCTGTGTGGAACACGTTGTGATGTCTAACGGGAACATCTTCAGAGGCTCACACTGATGTGCTAGTCCTCCTCTGACCAGCTTCCGCCCGTACGCCCAGGGCACGGTGGTCATCCCAGGCACGGGAGGTGTCGTTCCCCGGCCTTACGTTAGGAATCACCGAAGTAAGGAGCATGGGGCCTGCTACCCAGCCCAGAGTTACTGACGTCCCTTTCTCCTCTCTCCCTCTCCTCCCTGTAGATCTGTTATAATGTGGGCCAGTTATTTCTGGCCAAGAAAATGCTACGAAAGGCCTTGAAACTGCTCAATCAAAACTTCCCTTCCAACTTACTCACCCTGTTTCTCCGAGCCCGTGTTGAGAAGAACAGACACTCCAGCTTTGCAAATCCGCATCCCAAAGAGGGCTCACCTCCAGGGTAAGGGAAGCCGACAGGGAGACAGAATCCGCAGCAGCCCCCAAAATTCTATCCGTAAGGAGGCAAGAATGCTCCCAGGCGGGGGCACGTCCTCCCTCTCCCTCCTCACCCCTCCACCTTTCTCTCTGGGGAGCGTGTGTGCCCTGTGGCAATGAAGAATAATAATAAAGATAACGTCAACGGGGCCAGCAAGTGGCATAGTGGTTACCACATTGGACTCCCACAGGGCCTACCGCGGTTCGAGTCCCAGACCCAGTGGCTTGAAAAATCACACTGGGCACGTGTGTGTGCATGCCCAAAATCCCAGGAGGAGAACGAAGAAGTTTTGGTGTGGCCATCCCACCCACTGTCTCTCTCCTTCCCACTGTCTCTCTGGTGGGTGCACCTGCCCTGTGGCAAAAACCATAAAGAGAAATAGTAACATCAGCATTGGGGAGAGACACTGATTGGGGGGCAGCGTAAGAAGGGTGTTGACCGTTGCTAGCGTTGGGTATGAGTCCAGGGAGCTCCTCACTGCTAGCTGTCTGTGTGAAATTGTTCATGTTTTAAAACTGTCTAGCAATTCGTACCAAGGGAGAGCCTCCTCCCTGGGACTCTGCAGAGCTGAGACGCCTCTCTTCCTGGGGGAGACCGAAGAGACCATAGCCGTATCTCTGTAGGGCAGACACAGACAGCCATCCAGGAGAAGTTGCAACCACCAGAAGCCACCTTCTCCCGCTTCCAGAAGTTCCCTTCAACATGGGCACCCCGAGGGGACCGAGTTACTGCCGAGCAGCCGTGCAGGGTGGGGCAGCTCCTGGGGCCACCAAGAGGGAGGGCTGCAGAGTTCAGCAGAGCCACTGCCAGGAGTGAAGCGGCCCTGGGTTCCACATGACACTCCCTCGTGGAGTAAAGTTGCCTCGTTAACTGGGAATTTCAGATAAACGATGAAATTTTTTAGTTACATGTCACACAGAGGGCCTGCTCCCATGACCTGGTGGCCAAGGCAGCAGGATCCCACATGGCCGACCATGCATGCAGTTCAAATCCTGGACCCAGTGGCTTGAGAAACACGTTGGGAGCGTGTGTGTATGTGTGTGTGTGTGCCCAAAATCCTGCAAGGGAACAGTGAAGGAGTAGGGACTGTGGCCTGATCATTCTCCACCAAGTGCCTTCTCGTCCCCCTTCTTCCCTCTCTCGGGTGAGTGCGTACACCCTCCAGGAAGCAAACAAAAAAGTCAAAATAATTAGGGCATATGCATTCCTAAAAAAAAAGGGGTTCATTTTTAAATTCAGATTTAACGAGGCTTCCTCCGTTTCCGTTTGCTAACTCAGATAACCTGCGTTTGCAGCTGCATCTTGCGAACGGTCAGCTACATGAGAGCCCAGCAGCGTCACTGTCACACCACCTGCTGTTCCCTCCTCAGTGTGCTTTTTTCGGAGGCACAGTCAGTAGCATGTCAGACTGTGGGACTGGAAGCCACACGCTGACCGCAGTCCGAATCCCTGGTCTAGTTAGCCGGAAGCACACTGGTGCATATGCGTGTGCCCAGGGTCCTGGAGAGCTGGAGGACCAGGCCCTGTGGAGGGTGACTCTCTCCCTCTGTCCCTCTCTGTCTCTATCTCCTGAACGAAAACTAAGCGGCCAGCGTTAACATATCTGTTAGTGATCGAGGCAGGCCTCCAGCTCAAGCTGGCTGAGTCCCGGCCTGCAATGAGGGCTCTGCGTCCCTCAGCTCCCCACCGCGAGCTGACGGTTTTACCGCTCCTGCATCCCGCAGGGAGAAGAGGCTGGCCCACCTTTACCAGCAAACTGTCTGCTTCTCCCTGCTCTGGCGGATCTACGGCCTGAATTATTTCTTCTACTACAAGTACTACGGTGACCTGGCGGCCATGATGCAAGTGAACAGCGCGCTGGAGACGCAGAACGATTTTCAGGTGGGTGTTCGGGGGCGCTCTCTGAACCTCTCGGCCTCGTTTGGAGACAGAGGCCCTGTGAAAGGCTGCCCGGATTCACAGCCGTGAGGACGTGAGCCAAGCCGGTCTGGCTGGGTGGCAGCCCCCAAACAGGGCCCAAGGACCACTTCACAGTCTTAATAGTTTCTGCGAATCCTAAACAGCTGCTATTTCTACGGGATGTTTCCACTGATATTACCACATAAGCAACAAAACCAGAACAATGTAAAATACATATTTTAAAATAGAAAAACACATTACATATTAACCTAATTAACACTTGTAACAAAACAGTATTTGGGGGCCGCAAGTGGTGTGATGGTTAAGGCACTAGACTCCCACATGGCTAACTGCGGTTCAAGTCCCAGACCTGGCAGCTAGTTTTGCCACTTTTCCTCTCTCTCTCTCTCTTCCTGGTGAGTATATATGCCCTATAGTGAATTGGAAAGCAATAATAATTAATAAAATAATTCTAGAGAAAAAAGCATTTCTCCAAACAAAATATCTAATGAGACATGTGTATTAAATTTTTGTAAACCTCTTAATATCTGGCTTCAGAAACAATGACTACATTCTCACATCCGCTTCTATCTTCACTTTTACAATAATATGTATGATGCCTCTGGAAAACTCCGTTTTATACTCATGAGAGAATGAGGGTAAAAAAATATATGAAAATTCTTGGCCAGCAGGTGGCGTTGCGGTTAAGGAGCTGGATTCCCACATGGCTGACCACGGTTTGAGGGACTCGAACCGTGGCCGACTACATGGGAGTCCGGGACTCGAACCGAGGCCGACTACATGGGAGTCCAGTGACAATGCCATTATGCTAACTGCTAGTCCCGCTAATTATCATTTTAAAGGGTTGTTTAAAGAGTGATCGACTTCCCTCAAATATCTAAGCTAGGTTTAGAGATAGTCCTTATATAATTTTGAAAGCAAACAAGCTAAACCAACCTTGCTTTTCTGTAGAATTACGAAGTTAATGCATCCCTGCTCTAACGAGTTAAACACCGTGGAAGGACACAAGAGAGAGCAAAGTCCCTTTTCTCCCTCAAGCCCCGGCCCCAACGAGTAGGTCAGCATAGGGACCCTGGCACGCACCCTCCCAGGCCTCCACCATGTAGCTGCGTGCCCACACATACATGCCATCGCTTTCGTGTGCACAGAAATTAAAATGTGGGGAACAGCAGTTAGCATAATGGCTATGTCGCTGGACTCCCATGCAGTCGACCACGGGTCGTGTCCCGGACCCGGTGGCTTAAAACTCATGCTGGGCGCGTGTGCGTGCATGCCCAAGATCCCGGGAGGAGAATGGAGGAGAGGGAATTGCGGCGTGACCGTCCCCCCTGGGGGGTGATTTCTCGCTTTCTGTCTGTGTGTCTCTCTCTGTCTTTCTGGCGAGCACACGCGCCCTATAGCAAAAAAAAAAAAAAAAACTCTCCAAAAAAAGAAAAGAAAGAAATGAAAATGTAGATGTTTAAGGATGCGTGGGCAGAAGTGGCCGTCACAGTTGCCCCGGGTGACCCAGTAAATAGATGGCTGAAACCCAGCGTGTTTCTGTGTGTGGGCCCACGCCGTGGCTGGCCGACGAGAGCTCTCACAGGGTGTCCCTGGCCGCCTGTGGCGGACTCTGCCCCAGCTTGCCCTGCCTGCTGCCCGTTGCAGATTATCAAGGCCTACCTGGACTACTCACTATACCACCAGCTCCGTAACTGCCAGGGCGTGTGGTTCAAGTACGAGGTCATGGCCGTGGAGAAGACCTTCCACCTGCCCTTGAAGGCCGAGGGCATTCAAGTCATGGCCTACGTGGCCGACACCCTGAGCTACATGAAGTTCATATTGGGTTGCCTGGACTTGGCCATCGAGTTAGGTAAGGGCTGGCGGTGGGAGGGTGTGGAGGCACAGCGGTGCCCAAATTCACGTGGGTCCCTTTCTCCCCAGGCTCTCGAGCTCAGAAGATGTGGGCTCTCCTCCAGAACCCCAGCAAACAGTATTCGGTCCTCTGCAGACTCACCACGGCTCTGTTCTTGAAAAACAAGTATCTATCTCTGAGCAGTTCCCGAAGCTGGGGGAGAAAGCTGCAACGCCCAGTGTTCTGGGCTCGCTGTGCCCCCGGGGTGGGAAGGGCCACAGCTTCCAAGATGCCGGCACGGACGCTGGCCGTCCTCACCCTGGGTACCACTGCTCGGCCTGGCAGAGCCCCCTCCCTGCTGTGGGAAGCAGGCCTGCAGCCCTGTCAGGTGCAGGGAAGGAGAAGGTCCCTTAGGGACAGATGCTCGGAGAACAGCACCAGGACTGGAGGCCAGGGTGACAGGAGACCATGACAGAGCAGTTAGAAGGAAGACCCGATCCGAGAATCAGGCCGGTGCCCTAGCCGGACTGCCCCAGCAGAGGTGGCGTTGCAGGCTGCTTTCGGGCCGTGTGTGGGCGCAGCCCAGACAGCACTGCCGGGCGTGCTGGCCTGCAGGGCTGGAAGCCGCGTGGCCAGCCCCAGGCTCAGACTCTCTGTCCATCTCAAACGCTCCAGGCCGTGTGGGCACCAGAGAGCCTGAGGAGGTGGTCGGCTCGAGGAGGGGCATGGTGGCATGAGAGCCCGTGTGCGTGCTCTGCTCTCACACGCAGTGTGCACGCCCTCGATCATCCGTATCTGGTCCTGGTCACTGGGCGGGCCTGACACGGCCCCGACTGGACTTCCCGCCTGCTCTCCGCCGGCTCTGACCCCGCCCTTCCCTCTCCGTAGACAGAAGCAGCTGGTGGTCCTGCTACAGAGGCTGTGGGACTTCTCCGTCGCCGAGGACCACACCCTCAGCAAAGGCTTCTTTTATTTTGTCTGCTTGGACATCATGCTTTATTCGGGTAAGCGCGGGGGCCCGTGCCCGCGTGGTGGGCAGCTGTCAGGGCCGGCTTTGATGGCGCGAGGGTCTGGCTAGATGGGCCCAGGGCAGGGCTGGGAGAGCCTGGCGGTGCGAGGCAGAGCTGTGCGGAGGGACCTGCTGGGGATGAGCTGCCAGTCAGACCACCAGGGCGATTTACACGCGAGTTGTCGAGACCGACAGCGTCTCTCTGTGTGCCTTTTATGAGGGCCTATAATTAAAACCAATTTTAGGGGGAGGTTTTTGCCTTAGGGTGCATGTGCTTGCCGGAGAGACAGAGGGACAGAAACAATGAGAGGGAAAATGAGAAATCATCCCCATGCCACAATCCCTTCTCTTCCGTTCTCCTGGGATCTGGGGCACGTGCGCATACATGCCTGATGTGATTTCGAAGCCACCAGGTCCGGGACTTGAACCATGGTCAGCCATGTGGGAGTCCAGTGATGTGACCACCATGCCACCTGCTGGCCCCACAGGCGTGCAATGTTTAGCAGGCTGTAGAGACTTAGCCCGTTAGAGTGGAGGATTGCTCTGCTAATGCTGAGTTCCAGGCACTGGTAGCCATGGGTGATCTGGAAAACAGATAACCTTTTGGGGACACCAAGGAGGCTGCCCTCAGCACATACTAACCACAGGGACCCACTGGGGCTCGCTTTCCCCATGCATGACTTAGAATGGGGGTGCAGGTGTTACTGCAGTGGGAAAGGCTAAGCTGCACTCCCTGGCTTCGTGCACTGGAGCCAGGAAGGTTGACTGGAACCATACGCACCTGGCTGTGCTATGTCACCATGTCGTCGACGCAGAGCGGTCCACGGCGGCACGGGGCCATGCGGTCCTGCACTTGTTCCAATCCTGGGGCCCTCTGGATTCGTAACGTAGCTGGGGACTCTATCCCTGCGGTGGGAATTCTACAGGGAGTGGCTGGGCCCGGAAGATGGCCACCCCCGCCCACCAGGAAGCTACCTTGTTTCTGCCTTTTCCAGGCTTCGTTTATAGAACGTTTGAAGAATGTTTGAAATTCATACACCAGAACGAAGATAACACCGACCTCAAGTTCCACAGCGGAATCCTCCTGGCCCTGTACTCGTGTGTGGCCATCTGGTAACCCTGGGCTCTAGCTCTCAGTTCCCACAGTGGGAGCGGCGAACCCTGACGAAGAGCTCTAGGAAAGCTTTGTTCTGAAAGGAAGAAAACGTTTTCTTAATGTGTACCTGAGACAGTTTAAAGGGGTCAGAGAATATTCATGCTGCATGACTCCTTAGGGACCATCCAGCCAAGGATGGGAAAGTGACAGTGCCCCCCGTGGCGCTCAGACCAGTGGACACCCACCCCACGTCCACTCACGGTGAGGCGGGACACCCGGGCCAGATGGCTGGCGTCCCAAGAGGCTGGCTTGGAGGGAGACAGTAGTGCCCTTGCCCTGCCCATGCGCCACACCCGACCCCAGGGAGACGTGTTGCCGAAGCGGGGTACCGACGATGTGCTCATGAGGGTCTCCGTGTGCCTCATGAAGAAACCGTGCATAGGTTTCAAAACCTTTTGCACAAAAATAAATCCGTGCATTAATCCCATCTCTCCGTGAACTTTTGGAATCCCTCGGTGCGAGCCGTTTATTTCGGTATCTGCAGGCCAACGGGCTCCCTGGCACTGAGCCCCGAGGTCAGACTCTCCGCTGGGCAGGCCGTGGTGGAAAACTGCAGGTCCCCCATCACCGCAGGCTCCCCACCGGCCTCGCTGGCTTCCAGGAGGACCCAGCGAGAGGATGCTGAGTGCACTTGCCCGTCACCAGCCGGCCACATCCGTCCTTGTCACTGCAGGGGCGAGTGAGGTGGGGAGAGAGAGACCCGCGCTTTGCACCACGGATGGAGGTCCCTCATGGGGCGGAGACCTCTCCCTGCAGCCTCTCGGCCATGCAGCACAAGTCTGACCCTTCACCTACTCAGGGGCCTGGCTGATGGCCAACCCATGAGGAAGGCGGGGAACAGGAAGGCCCCCAAGTGGGCGGAACGGAACACAGATGCGTTACTTCCCTGCCCGTCCACCCCGATTTCCCTTCCCAGAGGGGATATAGCTGCAGTGTCCACACGGCCATGCAGGGTGTGGTGGTGAGACCGAGTGGCAGGATGGCGACATTCCTGCATGCCCCCAGTCAGATCTGCAAGTTCACATACAAATGCCTTATAAAGTCACTTGGGAGAGTTAAAAGCTAATTCATTATCCTTGCAGTTAAAATTCAAAGTCAAATGAACTTGCCCATGTGAGTTGAAGTTCGAGGTGTGTACGGTCCCCAAGTCCTCGCTTCCCCTCCCCTCTCAGTTGTGTCCTACCCAAGCGCCCTGTGGTCACCTGTGGAGCTGGTGAAGGGCGATTCCCGCCCCTTGTTCGGAGTCTGTTTCGGTGGGTCTGAGCTGGATGCAGAATTTTTGTGCATAAGGACCCCTGCCCCCGGGGGTGCTGTGACACCAGGCGAAGGCCACCCTCTGAGAAGTGCTGGCCTGGGCCCTCTCTCTTTAGAAGCAATTTCTTCAAGTCCAGAATGTATGGCTCCACGTGTTTGATCTGCTTTGCTTTTTCAAGAGTCCAGAGAAACAAATAAACGTTGCGAATATTACTCAGATAGTGCCAAGGGCTGTGCTCCTCCGAATGCTCCGAGATTCTACCCTGCCTTTGTGTGTGTCGCAGAATTCCCTGCTCTTGCGGGGAGAGTGGAGGGCGTGGGCGGGCGGCACTTTCTGGGCCCAACTGCAGGATTCACGTGGGGAAACCAGCCCGTTGCCAGTGACCTGGATTTTCTCGTTCTTCTGCAATGCTGCAGGTACGCCAGGCTTGAGAAGTGGGATGACTTTGACATATTTTCCAAAAAAGCCAAGCATCTCATGCTGAGGAGAACCCCAACGGCCCTTTACTACGAAGGAGTCACCAGATACCTAGAGGGCCAGGTGCTCAACCTTCAGAAGCAGATCGAGCAGGAGGCTGAGAACGCCCAGGACTATGGTGTCGAGCTGCTCAAGGTGAGGCCCCTGCCCGGGTCCTGCCCACTTCCGGAGCGAGCTGTTTCTCCCGGGGTTCACGCTCAGTTCTCACGGCAGTTTTGGAAGGCAGTCCCCCAAATACCAGAAAGGAAATCCACTTTGCCTATGATCTTACTACTCAGAGGTGGCCGCTGCTGCTTTCTTGAGGCTTTGCCATAGGGCACATGTGCTCCTCTCCAGATTTGGGGCACAAATGCACACACATCTGGCATGATTTTAAGCTGCCCGGTCTGGGAGTCAAACCATAGTCACATGTTTGCCCAGCACCTTATCTACCACACCACCTGCTGGCCTTAGAAAAACACTTTTTCACGTTTTGTACTTTTCGATACATATTTTCTCAAAAATGTAGTTTAGTCTATGTCACTCTCCAGGTCCTTTTCTGCGTGTCGCATGTCTGCACACTTCCATTTTTGTCATTTGCTGTTAAATGTATTAGGAATAATTTCCCACAGCGCGAATCTGAAGGAAGTGTGTCCTCGCTGGTGGTACCAGAGAATATGGAGCCCGAGTGCTTTTGGCTAGAATGTTCTGTGCTCCTTTACTGCTCGTGCCGTGAGAGGCATCCTGGCAGGTGGAACATTCAGGTCGCCTGCTACCAGGTGCCAGGTACAGGCGTGAGCAGACAGACCCGGCAGCGTCTCTGGGCTTCGCAGAGGAGCCTGGGCGGGCCCCTGCGGAAACAACGGGCCAGCCCTCTGGTGCTGTTTTGCCAGATGTCCGTCTTGTTCTGGTGAGACCTGGGCAGGGCCGCGGTAGTTCCTGCTGCCGTGGCGCGGCCCGCCACAGACCTGACAGTCAGGAACACCTGCTTTCACCCCACAGATTGGCAGAAGCTAAGTAGGCATGGCCGCGGGTTCTACCCAGGGTCTCACAGGGCCAACGTCCAGGGGTCAGACCCTTCTGCCGAGTACTCGCAGGTGGTAGGCAGGACTCAGACACTGGGTGTCCCAGACACGCCTCCGCTCAGAGATGATGACGGTAAACTCAGGAACAGTGCAGTCGGGGGTACAAAATCGGTGAGCACACCGCTCGCTTACTCCTCTCGAGGTTGGTCTTTTTCACTCCTTTTGTTCGTTAGTTTTCTTTGGTTTTTAGACAGGGCGTCATGGCGGTGGACCAGGATTACAGGTGACACCAGTGCACCCAGCCTTTAGGTCCGACCAGGAGTGGAGCCCAGGCCTCCCTTGCGTGTCAGCCTGCAGGGCACAGCACCCTGGTGCATGGCAGCACCGTTCCGGGGTCAAAGAAGAGAAAGTCTGGGACCAGTAGTTAGTGCCTCCCATGTAGTCGACCACAGTTCGCGTCCCAGACCCAGTGGCTTAAACTCACGCCAGGCATGTGCGTGCATGCCCAAGATCCCGAGAGGAGCATGGAGGAGCATGGCCACGCCGCAATCCCTTCTCCTTTCTCCTCTGTTCTCCTCTCGGGATCTTGGGCACACACACACACGTGCCTGGCATGAGTTTAAGCCACCAGGTCTGGGACTCAAACCATAGTCAACTCCATGAGAGTCCAGCGACGTAGCCATTACACCAACTGCTAGTCCCATTTTGTTTTTTTGAGAGCGATTTTTGCTATAGGACACATACATTCACCTGAGAGAGAAAGAAGGAGAGAGAGAAACAGAAAGTGAGAAATCACCGCCCCCCAGGGGGGAGGGATACATTCTCTGTTCCATGGCCTTCTCCTCCATTCTCTTCTTGGGATTTTGGGTATACACACACACACACACACACACACACACACACAGCATGAATTTCAAGGCACCAGGTCTGGGACTCGAACTGCAGGCAGAGGTGGGAGTCCAGTGACGGATCCATTTACACCATCTGCTGGCCCTTTATTATTGAGAGAGTACTGAAGTCTCCAACTATTATTGCAAAACTATTTCTACCTTCAATTTCTTCAGTTTTTGTTTTTAATATATTTTGATGGTATTGTTATTAGGTGCATACATTCTTAGAATCATGTCTTCTTCCTGTATTTACATTTTTATTACTATTTGCCGATCTTGGGGCCCGCAGGTGGTGTGGTGTGGTGGTTTAGATGCTGGACTCCCACATGGCCAACTGCGGTTTGAGTCCTGGACCTGGCAGCTTGAAAGTCATGGGCGCATGTGCGTGCCCAAGATCCTGAGAGGAGAATGGAGAAGGAAGGATTGTGCCATGGCCATCTCCTCTGGGAGGGATGATGTATCACTTTCCTTCCCACTGTCTGTCTCTCTCTCTCTCTCCGGTGAGTGCACATGCCCCGTGGCAAAAACAAAACAAAAAACCAAGCAATATATTTGTATTAGGTCGTCAGAAATGTCATGGCTATTTTTCTGGTTCTCTATGCAAAAATGTGACATTCTTTTTTGTTTCTTACAAACCTGTTTGATTGAAAGTCTCTTTTGGGGCCAGCCAGTGAAAGGGTGGCTAAGGCAATTGGATCCCACATGGTTAATTGCCTGGTTCAAGTCCCAGACCTGGCGGCTTGAGAAGAATGCCAGGACTGTGTGTGAGTATGCCCCAAATCCCAAGAGGAGAACGGAGAAGGGACTGTGGACATCTTCCTGAGAGAGGGGTGTGTTTTCCTACTTTCTCTCTTTCTCCCCAGCCCTACCCTGGCGAGTGCACATGCCCTGTAGCAAACTGACAAAACAGAAATGCTTAGGATCCAATCTGCTCCACCTAGATTAGGAAGGGGCCATGAACAGGGACTTTGCTATGACCTCAATCGCCTCAACAATGCAAAGGACTACATTTCCCTAGATGTAAATGTGAACGCCTCTTCCCCAAGGTTAGGTATGGTATAGCTGCAACTACTGCACCTGCTCGGCCTGCCCTGCACACGTTCACAGGTGTCTCTTTCACCTACTGCTTATGCCTGTAAGCCCGGCTCCACGGTGCATGAAACTGGCGTGTCCCAGTAGTTCCAAATCCTCTGGGGCGCAGAGTAATGGTCTCCTGCCCTGTGCATGATTGCCACCGCACTGACAAACTCCTCTGGCTGCAAAATGAACACGCGTTTGGCCTCTGTCTGCTGTGCGTGGACGGATGGGCCCGTGCAGCTTCAGAAGTGTGATAGGATTTGTCTCGGAGTGTGTCTCTTTGGGTTCATCTTGCTTGGCATTTTTGAGCTTCTTAGATGTTTGTATTCATGCCTTTGATCAAATTTGTGAAGTTCTCAGCCATTATTTCTTCAAATGTTCTCTCTACCCGTTTCTTCCTTCTGGGACTTCCACAAGTCATATGTTGGTCTGTTTGCTGGTGTCGTAAAGCTCCCTTAGGCTCTGTTCAGTTTTCTGAGATCGTTTTCCTTTCTGTCCTTCAGGCTTATGAATTTCCATTGCTCTGTCTCACGTCTGCTGCCTCCTCAAATCTGCCTTTAAATTCTTCTGGCGAATTTTTCACTTCCAGAATTACTTTTTTGCTCTCTTTCCTTTTTTTTTTTTTCTTTTTTTCTCTTTTTTCTTTTTTTTTTTTTTTTTTTTTTTGTTTTGCTATGGGTGTGTGTGTGTGCTCGCTGGAGAGACAGAGGGAAAGTGAGAAATCACTACCATGATTTTTAAGTCACCAGCTCCAGGACCCGAGCCAGGGTCAGCCATATGGTAATCCAGCACCACGGCACTGGCCCCTCTTTTAATCTTTAAAAATCTCTGTGTTGAGAAGGTGTGACGGATCTCACAGAGCCTACTGTGTGTCTCACCTTTCCGTTAGCATTCAGCATTATTATTGATATTTCAGAACGAGTCCCTCCCATTGAGCTGGCTTTTCTCTTGGTCATTTTTGTCCTCTTATTTGTCTGTCTTTAGTTTTCCTGGACCTGGAGGCTTGAGAGTCACAGCGGTGTGTGTGTGTGTGTGTGTGTGTGTGCATGTGTCCCCAAAATCCTGAGAGGAGAACAGGGGGACTGTTGTGTGGCCATCCCCCCTTGGGGCTGATTTCTCACTTTCCCTCTCTGTTCTGTGTCTCTCCAAAGAGTGCAGGTTCCCTATAGCAAAACCAGAGAGAGAGAGAGAGAGAGAGAAAGAAAAAACCCTCTGTATTAACATTTCCATTTTGTTTATTTTCTAGATTTTACCCTTCTCTTCCTTTAGCTATTTGAGCATCTTTAAGAGTTGTTCAGGTTATTTTCTTTTCCCTTTCCTTTTTTATTTATTTAAATTTACATTTTATCACATGACTTTACAGTATGCATTTCTTTTTCCAACACAAAAACCATGCATGTCAGTCAAGACAAGGATAATTCTTATATACATTATCGTCAGCAAATAGCTTTTTGTTTTTTGTCAGTTAAGCATATTTTTACCCATCTTTTCCTTCCCCTTACCCCTCCCTCCCTTCCATACTAAACTTTCTCCCCACATTTTATTGATTCACAAAAGATCTTATAGTATGGACAAAGCTAGAATCCAGCGACAAGTGTGGATTGTTATTACTGAACTTATGCAAATAGCCACTCTGCCACAAAAGAAGAATGCTCACAAATATTTTCCAATTGCAAAGGGGTCAGGAAGGGAGAAAAGTTTATGTTTCAATTAAAATAATTCTTTTTTAACAAATTGCTGAACCTAACAACTCAAAAGAAAACAAAAATCCTTAAATCTGGAAGACAAAGCATGGAAGAAAATCAGTAATGTTTTAGAAAAAAGTCACAGAATTCTATTTCACCAGTTCAGTCTCGTGTAAACTCTTTGGTCGAATTTGCAGTGTTACTGTGTCTGACCTTTCTGTTAACATTCAACATTATTATTGATATTTCAGAACTTGTCCCTCCCACTGAGCTGGCTTTTTCTTGGTCATTTTTGTTCTCTTATTTGTCTGTCTTTAGTTTTCCTGGTACAGTACTCCCTTCAGAACTTCTCGAAGAGCTGGTCTGCTGTTGGTAAATTCTTCCAGGTTTTGTTTATCTGAGAATGTTTTTATCTTTTCTTCCCACATCAAGGATAATCTTGCTGGATATAGTATTTTTGGCTGAAACTGTTTTTCACTTAATACTTTGAATATATTTTCCCATTCTTTCCTTGCTTGCATTGTTTCTGATGAGAGGTCTGACGTTAGCCTGACGACAAGACAAAACTGTGGTGGAAAAGAAAATATCTTTCTTTTGCTAGGTGCGAGGCCACGAAAACAAAAGATAGGGTAACAAGAGAAAAGTATATCATTTTATTTCATGTAAGTTTTATGTGACATGGGAGCCTTATCTGGAGAGTTAAGTGCCTCCCTAGGTTTGGATAATTGAGTGCCTCCCTGGGTTTGAAAGTTTTCTTCTAGGATTTCATGGACTAGACTATCAATGCCCTGATTAGTTTCTTCACCTTCTGGGGTACCGACTATCCGGACGTTTGGGCGTCTAATGGTATCTAGTATTACTCGTATAGTAACTCTCATTTTCTTGGGTTATTTTCTCAGTCTTCTTGGTGAATTTTTCTAGGTCAAACGTTCTATCTGCTACCTCAGACTTGATCTTCTGCATGATCTAATCTACTTTTAATACTTTCAAGGGGGGTTTTGTTTTCCTGAATTGCAGCCTTCTTCTCTAACGGTTCTGTTTGATTCTGTTTTATGGTGTGCTTCCTCTTTCAGATCGTGGGAGAACCTCCTCAGCTCCTGAGAGTCAGTGTCTCTTTTCTCCTGCATCTTTTTTTTTTTTTTTTTTTTTTTTTTTTTTTTTTTTTTGTGTGTAGA